TATTTATATTTATATATATGTATCTTTCTTGGTGAGCCAAAAATTGTGTTCATTAGCATAATAATAATGAGGGGAGTTAATTTTGAGTCTACCCCTCTGAGAGTACATTTGTTTTTAGTGTTCCGCTAATATTATAAACTAATTAAAAAACTGAATTAAGTGATATAGTTTTAAAATATTTGTTGATATAACCAGGAGACCTGCACAAATAATTTTACCTACTATGGACAAGTTAACTTTATATAAATAATCAACCATACACAAATCCCATGTAAACATATATTTGGGGCTACAATGAACTAATATAGTAATTTTTTATGAGAAACGGTTCTTACAAAAGTTAAAATGTATTCTACATCGTTGGGGCATTGTCATAGCTGCCAAACCATCCTAACGACTTGGTTCGTGTAATGTGTTACAGGTTTATTCACGGGTAGCTTTGGGACTTTGTTTACTGTCTACGCAATCTTAGCACATATATCTGGAATTTTCTCTTCCAACATCGAACCAGGTTACATGGAAACAGTTTACCCAGTTTTCAGGTACATAGATAACTCCACTATATTCGCAAGGAGCCATTTATTGCTCCGCATTATTTTTATGCTTATATCTTTGGTTTAGTAATTACCTTAAAATCTTTATGAATTTTTATCTTGCTTGCTTGACCTGCTTACTTTTATTTGTTTCATTATCACTTCATATTAGTTAAATTCTACCTATAAGTCTCTTTCATCATATTAATTTACATAAAAGCATGCTAATACCCAGCTTTTGTGTGGATCTTGCAGTGTAATAAATTGTCAAATTAATTGATGAAATTGCACTAACTTTTCTTTTTAACAAAAAAAAGTCCCACTAAATTTTCGATCTTTATATCTATACCTTCTTTCTATTGTTTAGCACATTAACTCTATGTGATTGGGCCACAAAGTTTTTTTAAAAAAATTTGCTTGCCACAGCCAACATGCTGACATTTATGAGAGTGGAAACAACAGTAAAGAACCACTAAGAGAAGATTAAGCAAAATTCATAACAGAAAAGCCTCAAATTTTAAAACAAGGCTAGTTAAAAAGCTCAAATAAATTATAAAAATAATAATAATAAAATCTGTTCGAGTCACATGAAAGCTCAGGCAGAGTCTACAAAGTCTTTGATCAGACTCCATCCTAGCTAACCAACAAGTCAAGAGCAAGATGATTGAGCATTGAGAACAACAAATACCTATTCAAGAAGAGAATATCCAAGACACATAAGTCTACTAGAGTATGTGAACTTTTCATTAAGATGGCAAAAGAGAAAACATGTTAGCGTAGTTACATGTGAAGAAAGTATGTTGTGCTTGTAATGATGTTGTGTAATTCCGTCATTGCTCTCCAAAGAAAAAGCCAAATAGTCTAAGAAACCAAAACATTCTTTCCAGGACAATACTGTTGGTTGATTGAATTCTTCCTCATAGTATTTATTTTAGAAGCCTCCAAATAAGTCAGCCACAAATAGTAAAGGAACAGCTAGGCATCAAATTCTTTGGCTCGCCCAACACCCTATAGAATGAATTGAGATGAATAAAAATAAAAATAAATAGTATAAACTTCAAAAAGAGAAGTGGAACTTATCATAGAAGAGTTAAAACTACTATGAACTACATCCAAAGCATAACCATAAGAAGATTTTGTCAAGCAGAAATACTGGGGGGATGAATGAGTGGAAGCAAGACGAGATAATAAAAAAGAAACAATATTTTCCACTTTGCACATCAAATCATATCTATTCAAGAGATAGGATAAATGAATTCTATCAAAGATAAGAATATTTCTGATTAAATATTATCTAAATGAATACACCAAAATCACTTACAAGAACACTCCATCCATTCCAACCAAAAACATTATAATAGTAGAAACTCCAAATAGAAAAAAATGATGTGGTCACCCTAATTCTCAAAGGCACCCATAGGCAACAGATGTACATAAATCTTTATAAGATAGATGTGAAACTCATTCAAACATACAACAGGTAGTCTTATCTTAGTATAAAATGTGGTGCAACATAGAAAAATCCATAAAAATTTTTACCATAGGAGAAAAAATTTTTTGTACAATAAAGTGGAGAGAGCCCAAAAACTATCCATTTTACAAATGGTATAAAGTTGTGATTTGACTTGGAATATCATTCTAGAAATTTCATTTTCTAGATTTGCATTTGACAGCATATTTTACTGTTATTGAGAATAGTATTAGCATTTGCATATTTATTCTTGAAGAATCTAGTATTTCTATCCATCCAAATTTGATGAGCTATTACTTACACCGCAAGATGAGAGGAAAGTCTAGTAACCTTGTATTTAATCGTCTCTAGATGAACAAAAAATTGAAGGAATTAAAAAAAGACAGGAGCGTGATTTTTACACTAATTTTATAGAAAATATAAATATTAAGTGGATTGATGTCTAGAATTTAGTTTATCCATAGTGCATATACCTTTTATAGGAACTTTCTAAGTAAAGGCATCATTTTTTAGAGAGTACCCTTTGAACCAAAGCAATTTACTCCAATGCAAAATGGAAGAACTTTAAAATGATAGTTTAAAACATTATAATGTGTACATTTATTTTTCCCTATCAAGATGCAAGAAGGCCCAAAATTAACAATATTAAAAAAATTCTTTAACAAAAGAATCTTTCGAATAACCAAACCAATCAAAAATTAGTCCAATGTTTTTTTTCATAGAGTGAGACCCCATTTACCTAAATAATCCAAGAAGAATCAAAGATTGTTATTATAAGTGACCTTGAGAGAAATGTTGTTCCTTATTTTTTTTGGAATGGTAATTAGGCCCTCACTGTTGATTAAAAAAGAAATTGTAAAAAAAAAATTAGTTTAGTCTGTTTAGTTATTTAAATTGTTTGTTTGTTTTATTAGATAATCATCCACAATCATACATGTGGACAACCTCATCAGCTGTATTTGAAATTAATAAAAGGTTCTTCTTTAAGGAGAATCAATATCTATAGCCATTTAAAAATTTAATTTCTTTTTTCGAGAAAGTTGAGCCCAAATGGAAATATGCACGATTCGGACCTGCGACATTAGGTGAGAAACTAACCACAATATTGTGGATAAGTGTAACTTTAAAAACATACATTACTCTCATTTTTCACAATTATTTATTTACTTATTTTAATTTGGCATAATTTTTTTGAAGCAGCTAAAGCTCGCATTATAATTTGAAAAATAAAATTTTTTATTTCTAGATTTTTATCTATTAATATTTTCTTATATTGATAACAATTTTAATTAAACATTTGGATTAAACGCAAAATAAATTGGAGTCCCACAAAAAGTTTGCCAAATTAGAATATTAATATTGGACTAAAATCTAGTAGAAACTTCATATATACTTATTAATAATATTAGAAAAACTAAAAGTTTAAAAGTAGTATAATAATGGCACGACACCATAATCTCTTACCAAAGTGTTTTAGTTGCGTGGAATTATAAATTTTTATACCGGAGATACGGACATTTAAACCATTAATTTAACACCTAAACTTTCATAAGAAGATGTTGGTATGTATGACCAACATCAGGAAAGATATACATAATGTCACTCAATTCGTATGTATTTACATGTTTATAACCTAAAATTTTTACAAACATGCCATCTTATCTATGCATGAAAAGTTATATTTCACTTTTTAAAAGTTAATATAGTAGTATTCTTATGCTGATATGAATGATTTTGGTATTATAAATATAAAAGGTAAAGTTTAGGTGTAGATACATAAAAAGATAAGAATTAGGTGGAATGTATGCAAATGCCCCAAACATTAATTGTTTGCTAGAATTCGTAACCAATTTGATCTCAGTGCACCTTGTTTCGTCTATTTATCTCAGACTCCTAATCATTTCGTTAAGTAGTTCGCTTTGACGTAAAGGGGCATTTATTAAGGTTTGCAGACATAGATTATGTTTAATTTTCTCTAGTTTCAAACGATAACACAAACTTTAATAAATAGAGCTCTAGTGCTCTACTTTGTTCAGGAATTGTTAGGAGAAACTGGGAAATATTGAAATCATGAGTTAATCCCAAATATCTCGACAGATACGGATATGTCAAAATCTTAATTTAGAATTTGTTCGTCACTCAATCACTTTCTTCACATATCTCGATAACTTCTTTTATTTCATAGAATTTTTTTTCATAAAAAATCATATCTATCACAGTACTAACCATGTTTTTTAAATCTGCAGCATGTTTGCTCTTCTTAGCTTGCATATATTCCTGTACGGTTGCAACTTGTTCATGTGGAAGAGCAGCAGAATAAACTATAATTTCATCTTTGAATTCAATCCTAACAAAGCTCTCAAGTACAGAGATGTATTTCTCATATGCACCTCATTTATGACAATAGTTGTGGGTGCAATGGTGATCCACCTCATTCTCAGATCATCCAATTTTGCTCCGCATATTGTCGATGCAATCCCAAAAACTCTGTTGATGGTGTGTAATCCAGCTAGTATTTATGCCATCAACATTTTATTGCAATGTTGAATTGTTAAATTATCTAATTCTACTTCATCTTCAACAGATCTTCTTAGGAACACTGATTTGTCCATTCAACATAATTTATCGTTCCACACGTTATAGCTTTCTTCGAGTCATGCGAAATATCATATTCTCTCCATTTTATAAGGTAAATTAAGTTTGCACTGTTTTCTTTCTTTCTTTTTTCTCTTTTTCAATAAATGTTACTGTCAAATAATTAATTTGTATCATTTTATGCGTAACCGTTAAAACTCCTAGTTCCTATGATTCGGTATTAGTTTGCGTAACCGTTAAAACTCCTAGTTCCTATGATTCGGTATTAGTTTCGACCAACGAAAAGTCTAATATTAAGTTTGTATGATTTATTGAAGGTGTTAATGGTGGACTTCTTCATGGCAGATCAATTAACTAGTCAGGTACGGAATTCAAAAAAATATAATAAATAAAAATTCATGAATAACTAATTAAAAAAAATTAAATTTTATTTAATGAATTATGTTTTTAATTAAAAAGACAACCAAAAGCAAACTGATATAAAAAAAGGTCTACGCCAGATAATATTTTCTAGAAAATTAGTCTTTTTGGAAAATGTTGTGTATTGTAGCATAATTTGTTTGATTTGAAAGAAATTCGATTAACTAGGATAAAAACAAACATATTTAATTTTTTCTATTAAACTATACGATGTATACACAATTTTAAAAATAAAATTGGAATTTTTAATAATTTAATTTGTTTGGCACCATAAATTTAAATTGGGGACTCGAAGTGACATTGTAATTGGCCGCTGGTGCACAGATCCCGCTGCTCCGGTACTTGGAATTCACATCGTGCTATTTTATAGCAGTGGGGTTCAAAATCCACCCGTACGACACCTGCACCAACAGCAAAAGCTACAAGCTCCTGGCATATATAATTTCCTTCCTCCCTTACTACTACCGTGCTATGCAGGTAAGCCCAGCAACCAATACATTATCATGAGAAAAACATATGTACTCTACTAATCCAGATGAATCTACGTAACAATTAGTGTGCGAGAAGGTACATGGAGGAAGGCTACGATCCCAATCACTTGGCTAATGCGGGCAAGTATATATCTGCAATGTTGGCTGCTGCTGCTCGATGGAAGTATGCATTAGACCCGACTCCAATGTGGCTTGCAATCGTGGTCATCACCTCAACACTTGCCACTTTCTACCAGCTTTATTGGGACTTTGTTAAGGATTGGGGACTTCTCAACCTCCACTCCAAAAACCTATTTCTTAGAGACGAACTTGTTCTCAGACACAAGTGCATCTATTACTTTTCCCTGGTAACATTATTTATCTATTATGATTTTATATTAAAGATTGGAGTGATAAGTGTAGATGTGAGATTTCGTAAATACATAAGAATTGTGTGTTGTGTATGTAAACGCCCCTAGCATGCCTAACAAATAATAATGGTAACAAGATAATTTTGAGACACTAAGCAGGTGATTATTATGTTATAGGCTTTAAACTTCGTGCTACGACTTGCATGGGTAGAAACAGTGCTACGACTAAATATGGGCTTCCTGGAAAATCGTCTTGTTGACTTCACTCTGGCATCCCTTGAAATTATTCGACGGGGACACTGGAACTTCTACAGGTATCATTCTACAATACTCTCTTTGTTCCCGACTTTTACTAAATTAGTCATCATTTGATACTCTTGCATGAAGACATCTGGTGATGATTCTTTTTTTTTTAATATATAAAAAGGTTGGAGAACGAGCACTTGAACAATGTTGGCAAGTTTAGAGCAGTGAAGGTGGTTCCTCTTCCTTTCCGTGACATGGAATAGTGCGGCATGGACGCTTAATAATTTGTTGAATGGGGTTAAATAAAACGTAATGTTATTCATTAGTGGTAGCTTGCTCATTCATCAAGATTACTTTTTATTTGGGTTAATCGTTTAAAAGCAAAACACACAAGTTGTTTGACTTGGAGTTTGCAAAAGCTTCTTTTCAAGTCATGCCAAATTTTCCAATAAGATAGTTTAGTTCTTAACGGAATGGGGGGAGAATACTTGAAGGGAAAACAAAAAAGCGAAAGGCTTAATGTGCCTTTAGAAACATTTGGGTGGTTGGTAGCATAATTGTATAATCTTTTGTTCATTATTATTCAACTTTCCTTTTGAATAAGATCATTATATTAGAATATCAATGATTGTAAGGAAAGTGTTTTGCCGAAGTATTTTGTAATCAAAGTTAATTTGTAACTTTTTTTTTTCTGCATAGGACTCTGTGAGGGGATATGGAGTTAGCTAGTTAACTTTCTCATAGTTTAATCTCTCATGAAATTGTATTTGTCCTCACTTTTTGTAAACTTAAGATTATTTTTCATATGAATTTTATAAATAATATATTGTGGGAGAAGAAAAATAAGAATCAACACAAATCCAGAAGAACAAACAGAGATTTAATGAGGTTCGACAAAGATGCCTACATCCTCGGGAGCAGAGCGGTGACTTCCTTTTCAATATTCAGAAAAGAATACAGAATACAATATTCAGCTCTCTCAAAAACCTAGGATTACAAAAAAGTTTATTTATAATCATAGAGTAAACCCTAAAGTACAATATGTAATTCTCAAATTACCCTTGTACCATATAGCGGGGCGTTGACCCTGCACCCCCAACCCACATAACGTAACTTCCTGATTTGGACAGATTCTCCGCTCCGCTCCACTTTGTTCCAGCATCTGTCCTTATATGGTATATGAGCCATACCATAACAAATCTCCACCTTGGTGAATATCTAACCCATTAGGAGAAAAGATACTTGGGAATTACACCTACACCAATGTGGGTTGAGCCACCATACTTCTGTTGTGCCCACGCTGATCTCAACCCACTAAATTCCAAGAGACTACCATATAGCGGGGAGTTGACCCAACACCCCCAACCTACATAACGTAACTTCCTGATTTGGACAGATTCTCCGCTCCGCTCCACTTTGTTCCACCATCTGTCCCTATATGGTATATGAGCCATACCATAACAAATCTCCACCTTGGTGAATATCTAACCCATTAGGAGAAAAGATACTTGGGAATTACACCTACACCAATGTGGGTTGAGCCACCATACTTCTGTTGTGCCCACGCTGATCTCAACCCACTAAATTCCAAGAGACACACCTCTTCAATTCAAAGGACATCTCTTCATTCTAAGATACTCCAAATTCTGGTATTATGAGTCATACCTAAAAATTCTCCACCTTGGCGAATTACCAGCCCTTTAGGAGAAAATCTCCACCTTGCGAATATCCAATCCCTTAGGAGAAAAATCTCCACCTTGCGAATTTCCTGCCCTTTAGGAGAAAATCTCCCACGTTGCGAATATCCAGGCCGTTAAGAGAAATATCTCCACCTTGCGGATATCATGTCTTTTAGGAGAAAATCTCCACCTTGCGAATATCTAGGCGCTTAGGAGAAATATATCATGGAGTTTCTTATGCACAAATGTGGGTTGAAGCACTCTTCCTGTTCACGCAAGCACCTTGGCTAAACTGTTGTCCCGTGAGCGAAACCCTTCGTGAAATACCTCTGTGAAACCACTGTTCGTGAATAATCACGCCTGCTCGCTTGCCAGCACCTACCGAACTCCACCTCTCACAACTCCTCCTGCGACAAGCTTGCAAACTCCGCTGGTCGAACACCACAAAACCTTTCTATTCGCAAACGCTCATGTTCGCGGTAATTACACACAAACTCCTATTTGCCAACTCCACATCGCCTAATGCTGCTAAGGTTCATGAATTGTCGCGCCTCGAAGTCGTGACGCCGCCTCTACCGCGAACTCCTCGAAGCATAACTCGTTGAGCTGCCGCAGCCCTTTATCCCAACTGCTTCGCACTTGTTCGTTCCCCCGAGCCCGTCTGCCTTGCGAACAATCTATAAAGTTTTATATTCTCCTGTGCCATAGCCAATATTCTCTTTCTCCAACCCAGGAAATTCAGAAAATACTTCCAAATTTTCTTCTCCGCAAGATTCCTTGTTGAGCCAGAAATTGTACTTTGATTCTGCCACAAATTATTTTAAATTTTAAATAATCCATTAATTAAGATTCCTTAATTAGGTTTACCTTAATTAAGTTTCCAAGAAAAATGATTTCCCCTTAGTTAAGTTTCCCAGAGAAGCAACAAAATCTTTCCAAAAAAAAGAATTGAAATATTCTCTTAATTAAATATTTCAGTTAATTAACTGGATTTTAAATCCTTTCCTTTCTTCAGCCTTCAGCAAAAGAAATCTCACCTCTGCAGATCTAGCAGAGGAAATCCACCTAAAGAAAATATTTTGCGGCTACAGTAAAGGAAATAAAATCACATTTCAATTACTCCGCTTCACTTTCCTTCCAAAATTTCCTCTGAACTTTTCTTTTTCAGCATCCTGGAATAGCTCCGCTGTACCACAAAATTTGAAGAATCTTCCAAATTTACTTCTCCGCAGTTTTTTCCGCTCTCTCTAGCGAAGGAAATAAAAAATACTTTCTACTTCCGCTTCACCTCTTGCAAACGAAATTTAGCACCAGCCAAAGAAAAAATCAAAAATCCTTCAGAATCATCTTCTTTGTAACCCTTCCTCCGCTCAACCTGCAAAGAAATGAAATATTTCCTTCCAATTTCTCCTAATCCGGAATTACCTCCACAACAAACAGACAACAATGAAAATTAATTCTCCTTCTCTTGTAAACAGATAAGAATGGAAATCACGAAAGAAATTCCTCTGCTTCCGCCTCGATCACGCCTCCAATTCCTCCTTCCGCTCGAACTCGCAGAGTCCTGATCAGCGATTACTTTCTGTCATCGAAACAGAAGCACGAACGTCCCTCCCGCGACGCGAACTCTTCCTTCTGCCTCTCGCCTCCTGCGGGAACAGTGCGTCTGTGAACTCGGCCCAGTAGCAGCGATCCTTCCCTCCTTCCCGCACCGAACAACTCCCCAGCAGCCTTCCGCACCGAACAACTCCCCAGCCGCCTTCCGCACCGATGCCTTCCGCACCGATGCCTTCAGCACCGAAGCCTTCCACACTGCGAAGCTCTCTGTCGTGATCCTTCTGTTTTCGAACCCACGCAATCTGCTTGTTCGCCGACCGGAAAGGAGGCAAGCAATCTTCCGCGCCTCCCGATCTTCTTGCAAGCCGCAATTTGCCGAACACGTGGAATTCTTGAAATCTAGATGCCAAATTTTCTTCAATCTTCTTTCTTCCTGCGCCGCCGAAAATTTTCTGCCCCTCAAACCTGGCTCAGATACCACTTGTTGAGAAATTAGGGAGAAGAAAAATAAGAATCGACACAAATCCAGAAGAACACACAGAGATTTAACGAGGTTCGGCAAAGATGCCTACATCCTCGGGAGCAGAGCGGCGACTTCCTTTTTAATATTCAGAAAAGAATACAGAATACAATATTTAGCTCTCTTAAAGACCTAGGATTACAAATAAATTTATTTATAATCATAGAGTAAACCCTACAGCACAATATGTAATTCCCAAATTACCCCTGTACCGTATAGCGGGACGTTGAACCAGCACCCCCAACCCACATAACATAACATCCCGATTTGGACAGATTCTTCCATTTCGCTCCGCTCCACTTTGTTCCAGCATCTGTCCATATATGGTATATGAGTCATACCATAACAAATCTCCACCTTGGCGAATATCCAGCCCCTTAGGAGAAAAGATACCTGGGCCCAACATTTCATTCAAAAAAGTGAAGGTTACACGAGTCGAAAAGGAACTCAAATTACTAATATTAGTAACAATAATCTGTGTATAAGAATGAAAATAGAAGAAAAATAATGGAGAAATAACAAACGAACAAAGATTATAGTTCAAAAGTAAACCTTGAGGTTACTTAACCCAAAAATCATGGGAACTCCATCAAGTGTTATTGAAGAAGAAAATCGAAGTAATTAGCATGAAAAAATCCTATGATATGGAGAAGGAGATAACCAAAAAAAATGTGACAGACATAAATGACATGCAAAAGTTTAGAATTACTAGATAAAGAAATAACTCACAAAAGAATTAGATCAAATACTCCATATTGATCATAATATACATTCTAATATCTTTAAGATGATTAAATTGCCATTGTCACAAGGTCTAAGAAAAGCACAAGCAGAGTGCTAAATAAGAGTTCAAGCATTTATCGCAACTCCCAAAATTTTGGAAACATAAATATTATTTATTTATTTATTCATTGCAACAGGGATAAAAAAAATAATTAGTTATAAGGCATTATCTAAACTATCTCAACATTATAAATTCAAAATATAATGAACCAAAAGATATCATATCCCTAGGATACATTAATTTTACATTATAATAATTATCCCAAAAAGCTAAAAATGTATAGGTATTTATAGTGTAAAAAAAAATAACTCACAGTCCTTCAAAAGAGTGATAGATAGCCAAAAAGGACTTCCAAGGACCAACAGATCAAGTATAAAATTTGATCACAATTGGCAAATTAAAGGTAAAGTACATGTTCATGGATTCTTTAAGAGAAGGAAAAACCATTCAACTTTTCAGAGTGCCATGAATATAGACAGAAATAACCTACACATATAAATAAAGAAATAAAGGTCAATAATGTCGAGTGTAATATCCAGATCATATATAGTTGTAAGTGAGAAAAAAACAACTCATAGAAAAAAAACCAAGACATTTGTAGAATTCAACATTTTATATAAAGTTGTAGTGCACAAAAACTCATACAACCAATTAATCATCCAGTTTGCTAAAAATTTCAAGAAAAGTATTAACCAAGCCAAAAAATGAAATAACAAATCACAATATAAGTTTCCAATGAGATATAACTGATGCCCAAACTTTCTATGAAACAATCAATCAATCACATAAGTATTCATGTAGATTAAATGATATATGGAATTAGAGTCCACATATATGTCCTATGAAGGAACTATTTAACTTTTATAACAGAAAAAGTTACGCTACTAAGTCTACTTTGAAGAGCTTAGATTTTAAAAGGCAAAAGGTTATAATTTCTTAACACAAATATACAAAAAATAGAACTAAGTTTTATTGGAGTTGTTCAGAGATAAAAGGTTCATACTCCTGACTATAAGAGGAGCTGGTATTAGCATCCGATATTTGTGTTGGAATTTTTAGACACAAATATTTCCATTAGATTTGTGGCGCTTAAGTCAAGGAGAATAAGTTTTGATTATTCCAACATATTTTACGTCTAATTAGTGTCTGATTTGCATCAAAA